GTTCCAATCTCGGCGCGCCGAATCGCGCGACTAAATCGTAATATCATAGTTTCGGAAAACATTTAAATGATTTTCGCTGCGTTGGCTTTTAATATTCCTGACGCTTTCGATAGTCGCTCGCGCGCGCGCTGCGACGAGAATTGTTTCCGATCGGACGGCAGATTCGATTCGTATCGGGCTCGACGCCTATGCCGGACCGTTTATCGTCGCGCATCGACTTTGCACATAAATCTTTCCTGGCCGATTGTTGTCGTGTTTTCGCTGTTGCAAAAATAAAAGGTGGCGAACGACGCGAGCAACGCGAAATTACTGCTTCTGGTTAAATTTAAGTCTGCTCGAAGTTGCACGTTAGAATACCAGCTGTTGGACCGGGACCGTATGTTTTATAAGTTATTTGTTGAGTAGTATAGCGTAGTGTGTAATTTTAAATAGTGTTTAAATAGTATTTTTAATAGTAATTTTAATTCGAAATAGTATAGTCTCGGACTAGGTTTACGAACGCATTGTGGATCTATATCTATATTTATTATTATTGTTACATCATTGTACATCTTTACTTATTATTATTCTATATTTATTATTATTGTTATCAATAGAAGTCCTTCGTTACGAAAAAGTATATAGTAATTTCTCTCCGCGGTTTTTCTTGCCTGACTCATAGCCAAACTGACCATTTTATGTCTTCCAGGAATTATAATATTTATAATATTCATAATACTTATAATATTTATAATATTTATAATATTCATAATACTTATAATATTTATAATATTTATAATATTTATAATAATCATAATATTTATAGTAATCATAATATTTATAATATTTATAATAATCATAATATTTATAATATTTATAATAATCATAATATTTATAATATTTATAATAATCATAATATATTTATAGTATTTATAGTATTTATAATATTTATAGCATTTATAGTATTTATAGTATTTATAGTATTTACAACATCTATAATAATTATAATAATTATATTTATAATATTTATATTTATAATTATATATAATATTTATATAGAATTATAATTATAATATTGTTTTCCGTCGACCCTTAGCATCGCCGTAACAACAAACTACGCTTAGGCGTAGCAAATTCTCAGGGAAATTCACAGCAACCCGAAATTTGGCATTTCCGGGACAAATTACCGTACCTCGATTCTTTTCTCTTAAAAAAATCCTACACCGCTTGTTAACGAACCTATAATGTTTTCCTCCGACCATTTATAATTGTATATAACATTTACATAGAATTATAATTATAATGTCGTCTTCCATCGACCCCTAGCATCGAGGCAGCAACAAACCGCATAGGCGTAACAATTTAACCAAGAAATTCACAGCAACCTGAAATTTGGCATTTCCGGGACGAATTACCGAACCCCGATTCTTCTCTCTTAAAAAAAAATCCTGCGCCGCTTGTTAACGATCCCGTAACGCCCCGCTCCGTCCGAAATTACCATAAAACAGGGAATCGCAGATCGAGTTAACGACCACTGGCCGTAACGCAAAACCCCGCGTATCTTGATCCAGCGGCACACGCCATCGGATCGGTTCGTCAACGAGGATCAGATTGCAAAAGGAACGAGCGATCGATGAACGGCCAGGCGAAGTGCGGGCTCGCGAATAACGGCTCCTGCAACGAGCCGAGGCCGTGTCCGGTTTCGCGATAAGAACGAAATCTCGGGGCCCGAGAGGTCCCCGCGAATGGTTAATCAAGGTGAATGGTCGACCGCCCGAGGAGCGGCGGATCGCGCGCCTAATTGCTGCTCGATACAACACCTCCCCGGAACTGTCTCGCACAGCTAGTACCATTAACTGGACATTATTCGCGGATTCCTCCATAGTCTCCGATCTCTAAATTCGCGGCTAGCGGGATGAACGAAATCTCGGGGCCCGAGAAGTCTCCGCGAATGGTTAATCAAGGTGATCGCGGCCGCGCGGAGTGCGCGCCTAATTGCTGCTCGATACAACCCCTCCCCGGAACTGTCTCGCACAGCTAGTACCATTAACTGGACATTATTCGCGGATTCCTCCATAGTCTCCGATCTCTAAATTCGCGGCTAACGGGATGAACGAAATCTCGGGGCCCGAGAAGTCCCCGCGAATGGTTAATCAAGGTCGACCGCCTCGAGGAGCGGCGGATCGCGGCAGCCAATTCGCGGCCCCGCGGAACGCGCGCCTAATTGATGCTCGATACAACCCCTCCCCGGAACTGTCTCGCACAGCTAGTACCATTAACTGGACATTATTCGCGGATTCCTCCATAGTCTCCGATCTCTAAATTCGCGGCTAACGGGATGAACGAAATCTCGGGGCCCGAGAAGTCCCCGCGAATGGTTAATCAAGGTCGACCGCCTCGAGGAGCGGCGGATCGCGGCAGCCAATTCGCGGCCCCGCGGAACGCGCGCCTAATTGATGCTCGATACAACCCCTCCCCGGAACTGTCTCGCACAGCTAGTACCATTAACTGAGCATTATTCGCGAGTTCCTCCATAGTCCCCGATCTCTAAATTCACGGCTAACAGGATGACAGACGACCGGGTCGTTAACGGAGGCAATCTTCCAGCGACTCGAACGCCGCGCTCCGCTCTTGAATATTTCAATCTTGCGCCTCGGGGAGGATCAAAGAAAGTGGACCGGCACATTCTCCCAAAGAGGCTCGACCGGAAGGTACCTACGTGTCGGAGAAGCGATTAATGATCGCATGACGGCGGATCAGGGAAATACAGTAATGTCTCCCTTACTGACGCTCGGATTGTGCAGAAAAATGGACAATTCGGGAAGAGGAGACGCGATTATTCGAGCCTTGCAGCTCGTTTTTACAGTTGTTGACAATTGATGACCATAAAAGACGAGCCACAAGGCTCGAACAATTCGTAACTATAAAAGCGAACTACAAGGCTCGAATTGTCGCGTCTCCTGTTCCCAAAATTGTCCATTTCTGTGGACAATCCGAGCGTCAATTAGATAATCGTATCTCCTCTTCCAAAATTCTCTATTTTTGTGGACAATCTGAGCGTCAATTAGAGAGATGTTACTGTATACGGTAATGTCTCCCTTACTGACGCTCAAATTGTCCACTAAAATGGACAATCTGGGAAGAGGAGATACGATTATTTGAGGCCCGCAACTCGTTCTTATAATTGTTGACAATTCGTAACTATACAAACGAACCGCAAGAATAATCGTGTCTCCTTTTCCGAAATTGTCCATTTTTGTGGACAATCTGAGCGTCAATTAGGGAGACATTACTGTACGTTCCATTGTTTCGCGATTGAAGATGGAAGCGTTCGTTTGCGGAGCGGAAGAACGTCGTTCAATGGTCGCTAAACGGCCAACGAAACGTCGTAAATCAAGCGGAACTTCGGTTATTCGTCTTCGTTTTCGTCTTCGCCGTCGAACGGACGATTACCTGAAAGTGCGAGATATTCTTGGATAACTCTAGGTTGAACCGCAGCTCTAACGATAACTCATTTTTCGATAACTCATTTTAACTCGAGTCATTCGCGTTCGAGCGAGTCGTGCCATCGCAAAATCGAGTCCGAAAACCGTGAAGATACTACTAAATTACTACTACTAAATTACTATACTACACGGCCCTTTAAGGATCACCCGAAAGTACGATATATGCCTGGATAACTCCAGGTTGAACCGCAGCTCTAACGATAACTCATTTTTCCGAGTGACTCGGGTTCAAGCGAGTCGTGCGATCGCAAGTTTGTATTAAAATACCGTGGAGATACTACCAAACTACTACTACTAAACTACTATACTACACGGCCCTTCAACAATCACCCGAAAGTACGATATATTCCTGGATAACTCCAGTTTGAACCGCTGCTCTAACGATAACTCATTTCTCCGAGTGACTTGCGTTCGAGCGAGTCGTGCCATCGCAAGTTTGTATTTAAAAACCGTGGAGATACTACCAAACTACTACTACTAAACTACTATACTACACGGCCCTTCAATGATCACCTAAAAGTACGATATATTCCTGGGTAACTCTAGGTTGAACCGCAGCTCTAACGAGAACTCATTTCTCCGAGTGACTCGCGTTCGAGCGAGTCATGCGATCGCAAGTTTGTATTAAAAAACCGTGGAGATACTATTAAACTACTACTACTAAACTACTATACTACACGGCCCTTAAACGATCATCTAAAAGTACGATATATTCCTGGATAACTCCAGTTTGAACCACTGCTCTAACGACAACTCATTTCTCCGAGTGACTCGCGTTCGAGCGAGTCATGCGATCGCAAGTTTGTATTAAAGAACCGTGGAGATACTATTAAACTACTACTACTAAACTACTATACTACACGGCCCTTCAACGATCACCTAAATGTGCGATATATTCCTGGATAACTCCAGTTTGAACCACTGCTCTAACGACAACTCATTTCTCCGAGTGACTCGCGTTCGAGCGAGTCATGCGATCGCAAGTTTGTATTAAAGAACCGTGGAGATACTATTAAACTACTACTACTAAACTACTATACTACACGGCCCTTCAACGATCACCTAAATGTGCGATATATTCCTGGATAACTCCAGTTTGAACCACTGCTCTAACGACAACTCATTTCTCCGAGTGACTCGCGTTCGAGCGAGTCATGCGATCGCAAGTTTGTATTAAAGAACCGTGGAGATACTATTAAACTACTACTACTAAACTACTATACTACACGGCCCTTCAACGATCACCTAAATGTGCGATATATTCCTGGATAACTCCAGTTTGAACCGCTGCTCTAACGAGAACTCATTTCTCCGAGTGACTCGCGTTCGAGCGAGTCATGCGATCGCAAGTTTGTATTAAAAAACCGTGGAGATACTACCAAACTACTATACTACACGGCCTTTTAACCATCACCCGAAAGTACGATATATTCCTGGATAACTCCAAGTTGAACCGCAAAGAGCTCTCCGACTCGGACGAGGCCTAAGCGATCGTAGGATCCGTGGCGCACTTACCTCAGGAACGTGGACAGAGCTTCGCAAGGTGAAAAGCTGTGCTGCAGGGTGTGAGACATGCACCGCTCTCCCGGCCTGGAGGACCCGTTCAAGGTCCTGGTCGCAGGTCGTTCCGCAGCACCGTCGATCCTTGCACCTCCACTTCGTCGAACAGCACCGGGACGGCACGGGACGGGACGCGACGGGACGGGACAGGCACGGGACACCGACTACCGAGACTACAGGCTACGTACTACTACCGACTACACCGAGCAGCAACTTCCTGGACTGTTGGGCTTCAGCACTGTATCCGAGACGGGTCTACTGTAACGACGGCGGACTGACGGATCCCGCGGTCCTCGGGCTCCCTCTCATTGATCTCGCGACATCATCGGCCACGCGATTATCCGCACGAGGCTCACCGAGACGAACCGCCGAGGAGCTGAGAGGAGCTGAGAGGAGCGACGCCGGTGCGAAACGCTGACTGAACCACTGGCGAACCGCCGAGGGGTGGTCCGTATCGTGGAGGTCTACTCTCTCTCCCGCTCCACACCGCTCCGCTTCGCCGCCGCTTCGCCACCGCTTCGCCTCCTCTCCCCACCAGGCGGCCACGATGCCACTGTTTTCCACGTTCACCCCTTCCGCACCGGTGTCCCTGTCACCTGTTCCCTGGCCCTTCGTTCTCATTCACACCCCCTGTTATCTGTCGCGACGCGTCCGCCGGGTTTCTCTCTGCCGACTCCGACTCCTCGCGGACCAACCCACCCCCGCGCCCTCCTGACTATCCCACCGTCCTACCCCGGCCACCCGCTTTCCTGTTGCTCTCCGCCACCCTCTCTAATCGTAAGTAGGCTTCTCCGTTGCTCCCTGTTCCTTCCTTCCTTCCCGATCGCTGTGAACCACCCCTCAGCCGCTGTTTTCAGCCGCTCCACGGCGCGCGTCGCGCGTCCCGATCTGCACGCACGTCGCAGGCAACAGAGCTGATCCTGCGATCCTGCGCGATACCGACAGGTGCAGGCTGCCCCGTGCCAGATACGGGCTGCTGCCGCTGCTACCGACCACGGAATTCACCGCTCCCTGCGTGAACAATGCGGGGAAACGCGCGCGGCCCCGTTTCTGCCGCGCGAACGATCCTCGCAGGTGCGCTAAAAAAAAGCTACCCGCTGCGGGCTCGCTCGAGGAATTTTCGACGGGGTCGCGATGATGCTCGCCTGAGGATTATTGTTTCCTGTTTATTGGAACAGTTTCGATGATGCTGTTTTTTGTTTTTGAGTTGGTGCGAGATTTGGTAACCGAGCTTTCGGGGTTGTTTCGGGTCGCGATTTCGGACGCTGCTAGTTTGATTCCGAGGCCGGGACTTCAGCCCCTGCGCTGCAATGTCGTCGCGGAATAGTATCGATGTTTTAACGCTTGATTTACGGAACACTGGAAGCAGCTGTCTTATGTTAGTTTGTTAGTAAAGTAACGTTGTTAGTAAAGTAACGATGAGACATTGGTTGTAATTTTGAAGGAGTGTTGTATTTATTTTGTATTTATTAGTATTATTAGTAGTGTTAGCTCTCTTATTAGTAGTAGTATTTATTAGAATTATTAGTTTTTATTAGTAGTAGTATTTATTAGTATTATTTGTTTTTATTATTAGTAGTATTTATTAGTATTATTTGTTTTTATTATCAGTAGTATTTATTAGTATTATTAGTTTTTATTACTAGTAGTATTTATTAGAATTATTAGCATTATTAGTTTTTATTATTAGTAGTATTTATTAGTATTATAAGTTGTTTTTTACTATTACTAATATTTATTAGTATTATTAGTTTTTACTATTAGTAGTATTTATTAGTAGTATTTATTAGTATTATTAGCATTATTAGTTCCCATTAGTATTATATTTATTTATTTATTTATTTATGTATATGGGTAATAAAAACCCATTTTACAATAAATATCAAAAGACTGATGTTAACATAAAATACATAATCATCGAATCAGCGTTTTGAATTTTGTTCTTTTCGCTGGAAATATGACTATTTTGTCGCAACCTATTTCATTTATCTCTGTTCTGACATAACCCATTTTACAATAAATATCAAAAACTGATCACGAATCATGAATCATTTGAATATATCGTGTAAATAACTCGTAAATGTACCTTTGCCAAATCCGAATAATCGTAAATTAAGAAATGAAAAAAAAGACTAGTTAACCCTATCTAAAACTAGTGTTAAAAGGGATCTTGAAAATGCAAGAGACGTTGTTCCGATATTTTTCGAACCAACGTGAAATTTTGTTTTCCGCGTAATCTTTTCAGCATGTAAATTGAAGCAATCGAGTCTTTTGAAAGCACGCAGCACGATGCAGTCCACGATGCTGCGTCACGAACATGAAACCATTAATGCGTCAGGGTGTTAAAAATTTCGAAATTTTTTTTTATCGAAGGGTTCCAGCTTTTCCGGTCAGGCGGTCTTGCCGATGCGATCGTAATTCATTCGCAGGCGTGCCACCGCAGCTCGCAAACTCCGACATTTCCTCCTGACGTGGGTGAGCAGCGGGGTTGATGGATGCCTCGAGATAGAGTGAAACTTTAGCTGTGCGTACGATCATTCCGTGGGATCGTAAAAAAGACGCTTTCTGCATGGAGCACGGCGAACGTAATGCTATACGGCACAACGATGGCTGGGAATTTTAGAAAGAAAAAATAAGTTTCTGGATTCTAACGTGTTTTTTCGTCATTTTTCATATGCATCAAGTAGATCTCGGACAACATTATACAATAACGATATTGTCGAGGAAATATTATTAACGATAATTAACTATTGACAATACCAGGATGAGCTAGGTATCGACTTATCGACAGAAGAGTTGAAAGAACATGGTGTACCTAAAGGGGCACACGTCAAATGATATAGGAAATAGCAGAACAAAGAAACCTCTCCGATACGATTTTCGAAACATAAAATTCTTCCTTTTTTTAAATTACGAGCTTTCAAATCTCAGGTGAGATTTATTCGCCGTACAGTGAAGCGAGTGTACCTAATTATCGAAATACATAGTGTATCCCAAAATTATACAAGCCAGAAATGAGGGATTCCTGACGTGATTTGAAGCAACTTTTTCCTTAGCGAAAATGCAATCCGCGACTCCGTCTACGAGTTATTAGCAAAAAAGCAGTGACCAATAAGAGGCGGGCGCTAGACGGCGCTAGGCGGCCGAGCCAGTGAGCGGAACTAAGCTCCGACCGTTCGTTGGCTCGCGCCCGCCTCGCGCCAGCCGATCTCACCTCCTATTGGTCACCGTTTTTCGTTAATAACTCGCAAACGAAGCCGCGGATAGCATTTTCGCTAAGGAGAAAGTTGCTCAAGATGATCTCAGGAATCCCTCGTTTCAATAACTTTGGGACATCTAGTATAAAATGTAAATTACTCCGACAGACTTTTTGACGGCCACTGTACCTTTAATCGAACGTTCGACGATTTCTGTCNCTAAATCCAAAATAGTCTTTTTCACCTTATTTCCATGTTGATGTTGAAATTGAGCTTGGCGACCCGTAGAATATTTAATTCAATATACAGGGTGTCCCAAAAATGTCTCGCAATCCAAAAGCTGGAGATTCCTGACGTGATTTGAAGCAACTTTTTCCTTAGCGAAAATGCAATCCGCGACTCCGTCTACGAGTTATTAGCAAAAAAGCAGTGACCAATAAGAGGCGGGCGCTAGACGGCGCTAGGCGGCCGAGCCAGTGAGCGGAACTAAGCTCCGACCGTTCGTTGGCTCGCGCCCGCCTCGCGCCAGCCGATCTCACCTCCTATTGGTCACCGTTTTTCGTTAATAACTCGCAAACGAAGCCGCGGATAGCATTTTCGCTAAGGAGAAAGTTGCTCAAGATGATCTCAGGAATCCCTCGTTTCAATAACTTTGGGACATCTAGTATAAAATGTAAATTACTCCGACAGACTTTTTGACGGCCACTGTACCTTTAATCGAACGTTCGACGATTTCTGTCGAATACCTTCTGAAATTCGCGAGATAGCAAGATGTGCAAGCAATATTTCTTTGAACATTCTTCGCAGACGTCCGGAACCGTGAGATTTTTCGTGGGCCACGCGTGGCGGTCGCGTTTGACGAAGCCAAATGCCCGCGGACGTTTCAGCATTCGTATCGGAAATTCCCGTCGGAACGCACGACGTTCATTGTTCGCGCAATCCGACGATCGGTTTCCATAAATACAAAGTGTCAGGGGCCGTTTACATGGTATCGGGCCAAATGTCACCGCGGGCGGCCAATATTCGCTCGATAAACGTCACCAGGCTCGTGTAACAGTTAACAGTCCGCGTTTCAACAAGGACCCGCTCTTCCTTTTCGGATCGAAACGGCCGGGAGTTCGACGTGCGACGTCAATGCGTGCACACGAGCGTAATCGACGCCTCCGTGACACCGTTTGTTATAATTGTGATCGGCCGCTGCGCCCGGTGACCTTCTCCGGATCTCTTTGGCACATCGATCCGGCGACATTTTGACGTTGTCGGTACAGGAACGCGACGCGCAAAAATCGATTTCTTTTTTGTCACGTTGATCGATTGGTTCGCGAAAGAAATACAATCGTCGAAATAATATGCAACGAAACGATTTTATTGAAAATTTCATTCTAATAAAAGTTTACTCAGAAATCTTTCTTCGTGAAAGATTCCTATTTCTTATTCGAAAAAATCTTTCCTTCCAGCAGTTCATTGCAAGAAAAACTACTTTTTATCTCGCAGGAATGTCGACGAGGACGCGTGTATAACTTAGTCTCAGAGCTGGCGATTAGATTACCGTATAATTTCCAAGAATAATATCAGAATTATCGCAAATAATTGTTTCGTATAATTGTGAAGTAAGATAACACGTTACTCGATGTAATTCTTCGAAAGCGATAATGGATTATATTTCGTGGAAGTTTCGAAGCTCTGTTCGAGGTCCGATCAGCGCCAATTGGCGTGTGGCGAAACACCGAAACTGTTAGCCAGAATCGAATGTCGGTATTTCGGCTGGCAGTTTCAGCGTTCTGCCGCTATACTGATCAATTGGCGCTGCGCGGACTCCGAACGGAGCTT